GGAAGGGGGGTGGGGGGGGTGGGGGGGTGACGACACACACGGTGTGGAAGCAAGGTGGTAATCCATTTATTTTGGCTGTTTCATAGGCTTTTTTTGTCATGGCACTGTGCAACCTGTAAATAACCTCACATTCCAGCACACACTTTAGAAGCCACACGAGAGAAGACCTCGATGTACAAAACCACTGACCAGATCAGTAATACCACACAGTGTGACTGCTTATGGGGAACGCACACCACTGACTTCCCAACAGCCTGTGGTCACTCGCCAGCCTGGCTGTTGTTTTAATGAGGCTGTTGTTTTAAGGTTGTTTTACCACTTGGTAAAAATAGGACTGCTGGCACACCCGTTCCCCAAGGCTTTTCCTCTCAGCCTGTAGCATTTTTGAAGTAAGAAGCCATGTGCTTATTTTGTACGTGATGCATTTACACAACAGCATCCTGACCTTGGTCCTTAAAATAAAGCCAAGCGTGGTATTGGCACGTGTTGAGTGCTGGTGAGCAGAGCCCACCTGCCCTCCCCAGCCTGGGATGTTCAGATGATGTTCAACCCCTCAGTGTCTACCAATGCAGGTGAACAAGCCCGCTGTACTGGATCCCAGCCCAAAAAGACACCACCTGTGTAGGTACGTACAGCCTGGTTGCAGCCGGTGGGTGACACACGACTCTCACCTTCTCCCACCCCAAATGCTGCGCTATAGGACAGGCACAGCTTCCACGCCTCTCCATCATGGTGCTTTTCCTTAAAATAAAGTCTGATCAGATGTTCATTATCATTCCCTTCCACCCAATGATAGTAAGACATGACTTACATAACATTATCATTACAAAAATATAATTAATGAAGGGAGGCTGGACATCCTATTCTAGCTGCTGGCCCCCTTAGCTGCACACTTCGTGCTGAGGAGCCGTGATTACCTCAAATGCAAAGACACAGGGGCAGTTTTTCTTTGCTGCTGTAACCATCAGTGTCTCATCTCCCCTGCAAGCATGAGATCAGCTCAGCTTTGCAGACATTTACCGGGTGCAAGCCTAGAGGTCCACGTGCTGAAGGCAGGGATGCGTGCACACCTGGATGCCCCACATGCAGGTTAAGCGAGGGGGCGGGTGGACATGGGGAGAAGGTGGGCGCCGTGTATCCCTGACTCCTATTTTCCAGAAGCAGCTCTCAAAAAGCCTCATCTTCAAAGAGCTTTCTAAAGTTTCTTTGAAAACAAAATGATTAAAGGCTATCTTCCCTCTCATCCAACATCAGACACATCTCGCGCCGCATCCTTGCTTTCACCCCTTATTATGCATACAGCTTTATCCGCAGCTCCCAGTTTTGCGTCAGGATGGAAGTTACAACCCGGAATTAAAAGTGAAGTTCATTACCGCACATCAAAGTAGGCACCTTGCCTCGACCAGGCCTGCCCTTTCTTTTATTTGTAGGTATGTGGCTGGGCCAGGGGAGCTGAGGGGGTCGGGGTTGGTTGCAAGGTATTTACAGACATCATCCCCACAGGTTTGTAAGGCAAGCTGGAGGCGGGAATGTCCACATCTGGTGGTGCTGGTAGGGTTTCTCCCCCCAGAATAATCAGTAACCTCAACTGGGCTTAAAGGTAGATGGAGATACACTGGGCCATTACAATTAGGTCTTTAGAGCCATTTTATTAATAATATTTTAGCTATGGTTCTGGTCTGGACAGGCCACAACCTGGCTGATCGAGCCTGATAAATTTTCTCTGTTTGACACAGGAGCCAAAAAAAAAAAAAAATCTCATTTTTTTGCCCCGCATGCACGCAGCAGCCAGAACGCTGCACCGTGTCAGTGCCACCAAAGAAACTTCTGCCAGTACCTGCAGGCAGGAGGGGCAGGAGCAAGCAGGAGGGGCAGGCACAGCCAGCTTCTACCCGAGATAGCATTTAGACTGATGCTTTGCCTTCAAATGCTTTTCATATTAGGTGGGCTTAATTTATTTTAGTTTCAGTTTAATTAACAGTTTTGTCACAGCAGGAGGGTGCTTGA